TGACCTTTGGCCTGTGTGCTTCATTGTGTCTGGAGGCTGTGTAGAGATCTCTGATGAAAACTGAGTGAGCTGCTCTGTGTTCACAGCACTTGTCCGCTGTGTTAGCCCCAGATGTTTGTGATTCACTGCAGTGGCATCTTTACTCAGCCCTCAGGCACCTGCATGTCCCCCAGCAGCTACACTCTGATCAGTTAGACTCTCTGCTTTCTTTATGATGCAGTTGAGACTGGTTTAACTACTCAAAAGAGGACATATTATTGAAGAGGGGATTACTGTACTGATTGATTTGATTGTTTATTCACTCACTAATAAAAAGGTAAAATCTTAAAATCTAAAATCTTATTATGCCAAGTATATCTGAACTCACTTACTAAAATGTACATTCTTTTATATTTTAACTCAGAAAGGGGAATGAGCCCCTCATGAGTGTTTCATTTGGGCTGCCATTTCCTACAACTAAATCGATCAATACTAGTGACCAGACTCAAATGTGACGATGTGAGTCTGGTCACCAGTGTTTCTCCCGAGTTCAGATGGACGTGATTGTCAGGTGGATTAGTCAATCGATGAATCAATCAAATCAATTGATTGTTTGTTTGTTTCTGACAGATGATCAATGAGAAACTTCTCGGAAAAAACAAACCTGATTGCACGAAAATGTTTGATTTTGACTCATTGTGCGAAGAAGGGTGTGGCGATCAGACTGATATTCTTCTGTATAAAAAATACAGAGAGATATTTTGAATTTGAAAGGCCAATCTGTCCATATACTGATAATGAGAAATGTGTTCTCTATGTATGCACTGGTTCAGTTATGATTAAACCAGTAAGAGCTAAAATGACTTGAGGGACTCAGCACTCCCACAGGTTGTATGTAAAGTGTGTATTTTATATTCATTCAATAAATTAACCAAAGCACCATAAGTTAACAACAAATCTCACATATGATTACCTTGCTCTGGTCATGTTTGCTGCCAAGTGCACATATGCAGTGGTTACATTCTGGATTTAGTGAACTGACTGCTGTGTTGCAGTGGCTGGACTCTACCAGTCAATAAACAGCCACAGAGAAAATGCTCTAATCTCTTGTTCTCAGGCAGTGAATTAAATCAGGAAAATAATAGAGAAGTTATTTAATCCACAACTAAGTCATTGTTGAAGATTAAGCATGTTCTGTAAGCATCACATTTGTGCACATTGACAACCATATCCACAAGTTAAATTTGACAAAGGCACAAACAAATACAGAGAGACTGCTTGCTATAGAGAAGGACTACAGAGCTTTTTAGTTTGATGTTAAAATAAGGAACTCATATCTACAAATAGGCCCTACCTGTGGATGGTTTCCATCACATACAACAGTGAGCTTGTTACACAGAACTGACCAAAGTGGGTTGATTCTTACTATTCTACATAGGTGTGTCTGTGTGTCAGTCTGTGATCTTGTCAAGGGGTTCATCTGTAGGACTGTAAGTATGAGATACATTTCTTAAAATAAATAAATAGTTGGTACTTGAATGAAATCAGCATTATCAGGAAGTAAGTAAGTCTTTATTTATATAGCGCTTTCACAGACATTTCTGTCCCCAAAGACGCTTTACACTTTATTCAGCATTCATTCACTCTATACCCTGGTGATGGTAAGCTACTATTGTAGCCACAGCTGCCCTGGGGCACACTGACAGAAGCGCAGCTGCCATGCCACTCGGCGCCATCAGTCCCTCCGACCGTGTGTGTGTGTGTGTGTGTAGAATAGTAAGAATCAACCCATACTTTCATACTAGGCAATGTGGGTGAAGTGTCTTGCCTAAGGACACAATGACTGAATTGATTGTATTTAACTGACCTTGACTATCAACTGCTTATGGAGACCAATGCAGCATGTTTTGGGTTGATGGGGGAAACCGGAGCACCCAGAGGAAACCCATCCAGACACGGGGAGAAACATGCAAACTCCACACAGAAAGGCCCAGGCGACCCAGGGATCAAACCCAGAACCTTCTTACTGTGAGGCATGAGTGCTAGCCACTCATCCACCGTGCCGCAAGGAAGTCTCCAGAATAATTTATCTGAGTATTACAGGGTAGAATATGATTATTCACTGTCATACTGGTCAGCTCACACAAAATTATTACATTGATGTTGATTCTTATTTTTTACATAAATTTTTAGTTAATTAATTTAATTTAATGGTAGTCAGTTTAATTAATAGTAAATTAACTCATATATGATGTGTTAAGCCACTATAGTCTTTAGTATATGTGGGTTTGTGTGGGTTTGAATTTGGCATTCTTCATGTTCAGGAGTGCAGTACGTTGGTTTATAGCCTACTTTGTGTTTTGCTGCCACCTATAGAGGGTTGATGTGCAGCACAAGTGATAAACTGTCTTGAATTCTCTGTAGTAAACTAAACGGTACCTCTATTTAAATTCATTACATTTTGAATGCTTTTGAGAACTTTTTTTATGAGACATATATTTTAAATGTAACCCAGAACATGTTTAATTTGTTTATTTTTTATTAAACATTTTTAATATTATTGGCCCAGCTTGGAAATTGAAACAGAAGTATCATAAGGATATTTTCATTCCTTCATTCCTCTGTACAGATCACTGTAGTAATCACTGAGATACCAGGATATAATATAGCTACAAAACTAACCCAACAAGTGCTATTCTTACAATAATAACAGGGTGTACAAAACAAAAACATGTCATAAAACAAACATATAAAAGGATACTCATAATATTAATATAAAAACAAACTTTTGGTTATAAAATGTGGAGAAGACCACACTGCTGATCCCAAACACAATAAAATTCAACACTGACTGACAAATATACATTTCCTATTTCCTTTCCCCATTAACTCTAATTTAAAATCTCAGAACAATCAGATTTCATACATTCTTGAAAGTAACATTTAACATTTAATTTAGCTCAATGTATACTTTGAAAAAGATATACTGTGTTATATGTAAGTATGTATTTCAGGCTTCACAATCCGGATAATCTCTATTAGACAGGGGCAGCAGTAGTTACAGAAGCCGCTTAACACCACAGCGGGAGAGTGAATTTGAAGTAAATCTGAGTGTCAAAAATGCATATTGTTATAGTTTTTTGGGATGAGTTTTAAGGCCATGCCAATCAAGCTTTTGCTGTCACTGTTGAGCTTCACAGATGCAGGGTCAGAGGTTGGAGAGGGGGACTTCAATAGTTCTTCATAGACACGGCAGGTCCTTCGCCGTCATGACGTTTGATCTGGTGCAGCATCAGCAGTGTCACTAAAAGCCCCAACAACTGCAGATTCACACAGACACAAAAGTCCAAAAGTCACGAAATGCAAGCAAAAACTATAGAATTTGTCTGTCATTTCTTTTTGTTGAACAAAAAACTTATGATTTTAGGTAGAAATACAGAAGATATGTAATCAGCAAATTTGGCTACTCCAAGCAATGAAAACAATAATAGAAAATGCTTTTAAATGATTTCAGAATCTTGTGAGAGGGATATATAAGTAAACTGTATTATTACAATGTAATTTGTACTAATAAGTTAGAAAAGTCATCAGATCAGAGTAAACATCATTTAAGCATGAACTGAAATAAACACTTACTGCTGTGACTGCAAAACCAAAGCAGAAGCCCATTGAAACCTTCAGAAAAAGGTCAATCAAGTCAAAGAGGTATTCTCCACAGGACTGAGGGAGGACAACATGGCATGTGTTACTAATACACCATGCAAGCATTAAATAAAGAACCTTAAATAAAAATAATAACAATAAGTTGACTCACCGTAGCATAAATCTGATCTGGGCCAGAGGTGCCCTGTAAACAAAACCAATGCATTGTTAATATTAGAGAGAGCTTTGTGGTTCAATAGAAAAGCATTTACCCCATAACTAGAGGGTTCTTGTTTGTTTTTGTTTGATTTTGTTTTTTCAATCAAGCTCAATCAATAGTATTAGCAATTTTAAAATTATCCTTTTGGTCAATATTTAGCTTGATCCAACCAGTCAAGTCACCATAAAACCAACCTGTGGTCTGGATTTACAACCTCTGTTTCCATATCCTTCAAATCCTCCATAACTCCCGGACGAAGAGCAGGAACAGGAGTTTGGGATCTCGGAGCCCCAGTCTTCAGCTCTGCTCAGCCCACAGCACTTAACCTGGAACAGCAAGGATGTCAAATCAACTTCAAACAGTTTAAAACAAAACGGTCTAAACCCATTGGACACTCACAGTGGATTGGAGAGCATCCAGCATGATTTTGAAGTCATCATTCTCCATGTAGGTCTGAGAAGCTTCAGATGTAACATTTGTAAGTGCATCCTTGAGCTGCAATCAAAAATGGATATGTGTGAGAACCATGGCATTTTTAAAATCAAAATAAGTATGAAAATAAATATTTTACCTTGTTTCTTGTGACAGCAACATAGATGCCAAAAATCAGCATAACAATCATTCCAGCCACCATGAAGCCTGCAAACTAATAAACAAAACAATATGATCAAGAAATATCAAGACCTGTTCCTATGAAAGATTAATTATCAATTGTATCACAAGCAGATTTGTATAAGAATATTAAGAGATTGTACTATGTACTTACAATTTTAAGCGCCAGCTGTTTCTCTGAGCATCCAGCATAGATACCCAGGCAGGAGATACCGAGGACTCCAATGGCAAAGACCCATCCCCATCCCACCCCTGGAGTTCCCAAGGAGGAATACTGTGAACAGAAAAATCTCTTATCTTATTTATATAAACTCTCAGCTCAACATACCTCAAATGGTTTTATGAATAAGTCAAGACATGGTGTTACATTTAAATGAATTACTAGTGGTAAGGCTAACAAAATGTAAATAAAGTCGGTCTGCCTTTAATAGCTCACATCTTGATTTAATTGTGTAGTGTAGTTTTTCAAAAGAGCTTTCAGTGCCAGCCAACAACATCCTGCCGTGCAAAAGCCGTTTACTTTTTGAGTGCATGAAAATACTTTCCTCTAGGGAGAGCTAAACCCGCTTTCCAACACTGCCCTGACATCCTGCATTTGTAATGGAAATGTAATGGAACAAAAGTGTATTTCTTAGACAGATGTATTAATTTGGATGAGTCCGGGGGGGGGGGGTAAATAAAATTAGTGAGTGCGCATTATACCTGGCCATTGATAGCACTGGCCTTGACAGCTCCAAAAATCAGCAGACATCCGATGATCTATGAAGAAATGACAATATAGAAAGGTAAGCAAAAACACAGAAACAGGTCCTGAGTGTTTTCTCAAAGCTGCACAATTCTTCTGTGACCATATGGTCTTAGAGTAAACAACACAAATTAAGTCAAGATGTGTGGAAAATGTCTCTCTCTCTTGAAGGCCTGGCTTTAGATTTACAAGATTTACAAAGTGGGCGGAGCCTGTTTATTTGTATCGTATATGGCCACTGGGTGGAGACAGAGAATAGAAAAAAAAAACTTGTTTGTCTCAAGCATGGTCTTAAGTGGAGCAGTAAAGGTACCGAAAAGTATCGTAATGAGAAGAGCAAAAAACATTTTATATTTAATGATAAAGTTGCGTTTTTTATATATATTCTTTAATATTTCTTAATTTTACAGTGTGTCCTGGTTGCCTCCCATTTCTTCAGACAAATGCCTTTCTTTGAGTAAAATAAGGGTCGCAGATTCGGGTGGGGCCCTAAACTGAAATCTGAGTCTCTCTCTCTGTCTCTCTCTCTCTGTCTCTCTCTCTCTCTCTCTCTTTACTGGAAATGACTTATGCAACATGGTAATCACAAAAGCTGGTACCCACCAAAAGTATGTTTTTCAAATATTTTTCAATCTTCTCAACAACTTTGATGAGGGAAAAACGGATATACCACTTACTTTTTCCTTATGTTCTCCTGAGAAATGCAGATAAAGGATCATAACAAAGAAGAAAGTATTAAACCACTTATTTTATAGGATGACTTTAGACAAATCATAAAAAAACAATAAATGTATATATATATATATATATATATATATATATATATATATATATATATATATATATATATATATATATATATATATATATATATATATATATATATATATATATATATATATATTTTTTTAAAGTAATTTTAAATTGTTACTTACGGCAAATAAAACATTGAAGAAGATAAAAAGGCATTTGAGACATCCATTAATTTTGCCCATTTTGAGGTTAGTCCTTGTTCTTGGAGATGAAGTGGTTTCACCTTCACTAACTCTGTGTGAGAGGATGCAGTGGCTGCTCTGATAAAAGGCAGGGACTGTAACAACACATGAGCTCTGCTGCGCTCTGAGGCCAGCCCCCTGCACCCTGTTAGCTCATACAGGAATCCAGTGTACAGATAACATGCTGGATGTGGATATACCTAACGCAATTAGAATATATGAATTATATGAATTGTGTACATATTTTTTTGATACACATTGATGCTAGGAATGTAACAATATCCAAAATGCTGTGATATTGCATCATCAAAAGTCTTACAATAATATCATGGCCTATATATCCAATTACAATTCTCTTCACTTAAATTAATTGTTTTGGTGCCACAATAGCTAAAAAGGAGTGAGCACTACACAATTTATTTTAATTCTTAATTCTTTGGATAATGACAAAACAAAAGGCTTTTCAAGGCAAAAGATAAAAATAGCATATTCACAATTCTATTAGCCTCTACAAAATATTGCTATAAATATCATACAATGGCATGTATATTGTGAAAATATCGTATTGAGAAATCTGAATATTGTTACAACCTCAATTGATACACTCATTAATACTGTTTAAATACAATTAAAGACCCAGTTTAAAAGGGCTTCTGTCCTAATCTATATTTTTACTAATGGACTTGCTGGTTCCATTTGCAATAAGAACATGTCAGTCAGAGCGCATCACATACAAGCAGACACAAAGGAGAAAGGAAGGAGGCCCAAACAAAATCTGTTAAACGTCAACAGAAAAGATTTAATTTTATTCAAACAGTCGCCTGTTAATCTACAGATTTATTGAAGAATTTGTTAAAAAATAAAATAAAAAATTGTTCCTTATTTCATTTTATGGTCAGTAATCATGAAACATCTATGTGATCTGTAGTTTTAATCCTACTTTTTACATTGGAGATTGCAGTGTGTTGTTAAATGTTGTTGTTGTTGAAATGGGAGCAGTACACCGTATCCAGGAAGCAACCTTTGACCTTGACTTTTGTCTTCAGAACACATTGTTTAAATTCCAGCCAAAGTCGCAGCCGTTGTGTGATTTTAGCAGATCCTCACTGCCACTTTCTGGAAAGCTGCCGCCTATGTATCCTGCATTGTCCCACTATTTTTTCATCCAGCTGTTTTTTCGTCTTGCGTCATCATCATGTCTCTTTTTGCGACAGTAGTGTATCGCTTTGAGTCCATACTAGAAGTCCAGGCTGCACCACTTACTGTATGTCTATCAGACGCAGCACCACCCCCACATCTGGCCCCTTCTGTTGAGACCTCCCTCTCAAATTTACAAGAGAAAACACTGAGTGACTGATGTGCATCTAAAAGGAGGAATATATGGACCCAGCCTTTATTAAACAGTGTAAATGTGTGACAGTAAACTTTTTCCTTTGTTTATGTTTATGAGGCTGAACTTTGAGAGAGAAGCAAACAGTTGTATAGTTTGTTTTTCTTCTGAGCGTGGTTCATTTGCAAAAAATACAGAGGAAATGTGAAATGAAACCTCTTCATCTACTACAACCAGAAAGGAAAAAAAAAAAAAAAAACTTCAAGGTGCACTGTGTTACTGTGTTACTTCTCTAGTATGATGTCTGTCTGGCTTATGTTATTGCTATGGCTGCAATATTCCACAGATCTGACCTGTAACCTTGCCTGATTTTCCATGGAGTTTTGTGATTTTATATTTTATTACTTATCTTTCAATTTTATTTTGACTTGCACATATACATTAATATAATGATATATTTTTTTGACACCTGCTATCTTTTATTGCTACTTATTTAGAATGTATTATTACCGTTTATACATTTTTTATCTTTGTTATTATATTATATTGTGATGAGTGAGCTACTGTGTCTAAATAATTTCCCTTGTAGATAAGTTAAGTTTATCTAAGTCTAGTTAGATAAAATAAATAAAATGCCATACTGTGTTCTCAGAAAAGCACTAACGTCTCCAAGTTACATATTGTGGTTTTAAATGTATGACTCTGATAATGATGTCATGTAGCATACGTGAATCCAGTTATACTAAAAGACATACAAAACATTAGGTGTTACGTAATCCATTGCACCACATCCCATAATGTCTTAGCACTGGAATTCCCAAAGTTTAATGACAAAACCACGGAAACGCACTTTCTCTCACACATGAAGCAACCTGTTGGAAATGTACAAAACCTGCCACAGTTACCATTTGACAAGTTACTTCACCATATTGCAATGCAGGGGATTTGTAACTTATTCATGTGTTATGTTTGCAGCTACTGTTGCTTTCAGCAATTATCTACTATTATATTTCTGCTTTTTTGTCTCAGTTTTTTTTCTCTGTAATTTTATACTACATTTTGAGTTAAGGATCATGTGACACAACCAATTAAGTTAGGCTACATGATTTTTTTGTGCATTGTCCCCTTCAAGTTTGAAGGTGAGACACTGAAGGTGAAAAGGAAGAAAATCTTAGAGATATCAATTTGAAACTTCTGTTGGTTACACAAAAGAATCATGTTGTATTTGTATTTAATTTGTATTTAATCCTTTATTTTGAACACAGCAGGCAAAAGAAAAAAAAACAAACAAACCCATAACATTATGTAATTATGTAATCATGTAATTGTTAAATACTTGGGTGTCCTTAATTGACTTCGTGACCCACTTTTGGGGTGTGGGTGTGGTTACGCACTGGTGTGCAATCCCAATAAATGGCAGCAGCTCGCATCCAGTGAGTGCATGCAGGCCAAACCAAGTCCATGTCATTGCTTTTATTTTGTCCTCCGAATTTATCCGGCTACTTTCTCTTACCTTGATGGCTGTGCCAACAGTAATCATGGAGTGGGAAAAAGTTTTAACAACTTATTTATTCCCACACTGTAAAGAATTTCTCTGTAAAATAACAGTAAAGAGCTGGCAGCAGAGACGCCTGCACATTACTGTTATTTTACAGTATTTGTACTGTGAATTCACCTCACGGCATATTGCTGTAATAGTGAATTACAGTATATTTCTGTATTTTTTTTAATTTACAGTAAAGTACTGGCAGCAGAGACGCCAGCACTTTACTGTTATTTTACAGTAATTTGACTTTACAACTTATTATTGTTTGGTGAAATACAGTATATATGTGTGCTTTTTTTTATTTTTTATTTACAATTAACTACTGGCAGCAGAGATCCTCCAATATACTGTAATTTAGTAGTTTCCATACTGTTGACCAATTCACAGATCATAACCTATTACAGTAAAAATAAAATGCAGTATTTCAGTGATTATTTAATTTACAACATCCTTGGGTTACTAAATGTTTACTGTAGCCAGGCATAATACAGTGACTCAGCACTTTAGAATATCTAAAATCTCAAAATTCACTGCAATCGAAATTTAAATTGTTCTGTGGACTATGGCTTAAACCTATGCATAATAACCAATAAACAATTTACAAAGGATATAAATCACACAAATATTTATTGAAACAGGCATTGTCAATATGAATACTGTTACTGTAAAATACAATAATAATACAAAATAATAATAATAATAATAATAATAAACAAAAAAATGTTTCATGACAAGCCAAAGAGATTGAGTTGCAAAATAAAAATAGCCAAATAGTGTCTACAGGATGCAATGGCAATTAACAAAAAATTCTCAGATTGCATGTCAGAGACCTTACCAAACATGAAAGCACAAAAAAAGTTGTAACTGTTTCCATACTATTGTTTAACAAATACCATACTGAACTTTACCTTGGATCAACCAATTGGGCCAAACACTGAGGCGACTAATACAAAGGAAATGAGTGTTTAACCTAGAAAGAATTAAGGAATGCTTATATGCTCTCAAAAGGCAGTTTAAGTATAAATTTACTCCAGTGTATTCTCTGCTGTTTGCAAATATGCATCACTAAGAACATCTAAAAGTATGTATCAATAACAACATTTGTAAAACACACTTTTCCAAGATTTTGAAAATGTATATTAAGACAATTGTGAAAATACACATCAGTAAGAACTTGTTGAAAATAGGCATTAATTACAACATTTGGGAAGAAACTGTAGGTAAGCTGTATTTTCCTAGTCCTGTGAGGTACATGTATATGTTCTATCAAAAAGCAATTATATCTACAGCATATAGATTTACTGGAATGTATTATCTGCTGTCTATAGAACTATATCTCAGTAAGAATTTCAGTCAATGGCAACATTTGGGGGAAAAAACTATCTAGTCCTCCTGGTTCAGTCCTGGGATCAGTCCTGGTTTAGAAATATTCTTGTGCATAGGATAGAAATCCGTGCATATTTGTCTGTAGTTGAGCATAAAATAAATATTTGTAAAGTCTCAAATGAGTCCAGTCATACATAGAATGTATTGTGTGTATTTTATCCATCAGAATACAAATTGAAAAGTTACAACATCAAGACTTACAATCACGAAATGAAAATTTACAATTACACTTTCTTCAGTACGAATACAAATTCACAGACACAACTCGACTGTCAAAAATACAACATCATTTCACAAGCAGAAGAAACATCAATCGAGATGCCGGACTTTTGGGCCGCATACGGACTGAACCTGGACTAAACCAGAACTGATCCCAGGACTAAACCAGGTCTAAGCCAGGACTAAACCAGGACTAAACCAGGACTACACCAGGACTAAACCAGGACTAAACCAGGACTGAACCAGGACTGAACCAGGACTAAAACAAGTTTAAACCATGTAACCATGCATCTTGATTGATGTTTCTTCTGCTTGTGAAGTGATGTTGTAGTTTTGACAGTTGAGTCGGGTCTGTGAATTCATATTCGTACTGAAAAAAGCGTAATTGTAAATTTTCATTTCGTGATTGTAATTCTTGATGTCGTAACTTTTCAGTTCGTATTCTGATGGATAAAATACACACAATATATTTTATGTACGACTGGACGCATTCGAGATTTTACGAATATTTATTTTATGCTCAACCAGACAAATATGCACGGATTTCCCAAATATGCACAGATTCTATGCACACAAATATTTCTAAAAGCTTTCTTACTCCATAGTTTTAACTCTTAAAATAGGTCTCTGAGGTACTTTTACGTCTTAAAGGAGTTCTGTGACATAGTATGGTGAAGTTTGTGTAGTTTTTAAACAAGTTCTGTGAGTTAGGCTTGTGCTTTACCACCAAAGAGTCCCGTAAGGCTTGTGTTTTACCTCTTAAAAGTAAGTGCATTCGTATGAGTAGGTGTGGACAGTGATTCAAAGAGGAATCATCTCAGTCATGGAGAAATGAGTGTCACCAGGCTAGTTGTTGTTCCTCTTCCTGGCTTTATTCCAGCGTTGCCACTCTAAACAGCAACAAACACAATAATCAAAAATAAGGGACGTACAATAACATTACATCCTTCGTAAGCTAGGTAACCATGAAATAGTTATTGAGGATTGTTTCAGACGGAGCACTACTGAAGGCCTAAGTGTGAAATGCACGCTCTGCCACTGGAATTATTATTATTATTATTATTATTATTATTTTCCATGAGACCACTATTCATCAGCCATTATTATTCCTGTCTGTGTGCGTGTGTCTGTGGCACGCGGGAGACCAAATAACATATTGCAACAGAGAGACAATTTAGATAAATTAAATTCAAAATTTCAAGAAAGCAAACCCATTTTCAACAGTCTAATTGTTACAAAAATCGTTACGCCTCATGTAAAAGTTGTTTTACCAAACAAGGATTAACGTTAACTAACTTGCCTCAACTCAGTGTTTAACAAATTGCATTCAGACTCGACAGAAAGTAAAATAAACTCACCACAGCATCTCTGTTCTCTATAATTTCACTATTTCCTCATCCACCAACTGTAGTTTACTCGTTATAACCCCTTAATACACTCTGTTAGATGTAAATATGTTCTACCTTTAGTTCATGCACCTCTTTTCCTCCTGGTTATGCTAACGCAGTGCTTCTCAATTATTTTCTGTCATGCCCCCCCTAGGACGAATAAAACATCTCGCGCCCCCCCGCGTGACTATAAATAGTATAATTTGTCTATAAAATTGTTATAAGTACACCTCTGCATAACACTACCACCTTATATGATGCCAACAACGCTCGCTGGTTTACTGAAGTAGCAGTCACAAGCGGGATGATTGTCGGCAATATTCGGCACGTTTTCGCTGAAAAAACTCAAGCGGCTTATCAGAGTGATTGGGGTGTAATGTATTTAAGTGACGCCTTAATTTATTGGGCTTCATGCTGTCGGCTGCCAACATTTTTAGACGCAGTAAGCACACCGGTCTTTCCTCGTCTCCCACCGTAGTCACAGTGAAGCCAAGCGCTACATACGCTTCGTCATATTTCCTCGTCTTAGCTTTCGGGAGATTTTTCGTTTGTCTCTTTATCTCCGTTTCTCTCCGTCTGTCTTCTCATCCCTGTTAAATATTTTTTCATGGTGTCACTTGAGGGTCTGCTACACTTCGTGTCTACACTTCATACTCAAACTCTGTGCTGTGTGCAAAGCGCGCATGCTCAGTGCAAACAAAACTCCTACACCACCGAGCGAATGCTCCCTGCGCACACTCTGCCAATGAGAGCGCTCTGCCCCCTAATGTAGTGGAAGTGCAATTGCACTTTATTCTAAAGGCCCGTTCAGACCAAAGCGTCAAAGCGTCCACTTTCTATGTAAAGTCTATGTGGACGCGCGACTAGAGCGTCCTGCGTTTTTGCGGCGCGTTTTCGGCGTCAGCGCGGCGCGAATCTGGCGTCGACGCGGCGCGTCTTCAGCGTTTTGGCGTCAGCGGCCAAGACGCGCGTCCAAGGCGTCAGCGTCAAGAAGTTGAAAATGCTGAACTTTTCGCGTCAGACGCGCCGCGTCAACCAATCAGGGACGAGTATCCAGAGACGCAGCGACGTTATTATCAGGAAGAAAAACCCGAGAACCAGAACCACAAACATGAACGGAGAATAAATATATACGCCACAATCACCGAGCCGATCGCGAGGACTACACCAGGACCGGACCAGGACTAAACCAGGACTAGACCGGGACTAAACAAGGACTAGACCGAGACTAAACAAGGACTAGACCGGGACTAGACCGTGATTAGACCAGGACTAGACCGGGACTAGACCGGGACCAGACCGGGACTAGACCGTGATTAGACCAGGACTAGACCGGGACTAGACCGTGATTAAACCACGACTAGACCGGGATTAGACCAGGACGAGACCGGGACTGATCCAGTGTCATTAGCGGAGTATATATATATACGCCAGTCGTCACCGATTCCTCCTGTTTTCATAAAACTCCTCAGTGTACTTGTTCGGGGGAGGCTTTTTCAGGAAGGCTCATTTTGTTTCTACGCTAAAAGTCTAATCAGCAATCCAAAAAAAACATACAGGTACGGTGGCCGACAGGGGCCAAACGCACTGCAAACAAAAAACGTGGTGCAAATGGAAAAAACGCGCTGCAAGAAACAAAAACAAATGCATCATCATTAAATGCGCTGCAAATGGAGAAACGATGCAAAGCACAAAACGACGCATACCAAGAAAACACCTGCAAAAGAAAAACGCTGCATAAAAAGTCACCACAACGGAAGTGCTCCAAACCTGCAGGGGGCGCTCTCAGTGTAACAGCTCAATGGAGAGACACACCGGCTGGAGAGAGACAGGTACTCCTTATGAGAGAGACGGAAAACGACTATAAATTACAGCGGGAACAAATTATTGTTACGGTAATGTGGCTTTTTTTTATTTTATTATATTCATGTATTGTGTTTATAAATAATATAAATATCGCTGTACAACGCGGTACTTCACGTGCCGGTTATTTTATTGTATTTCACACCAGACTTTACAAGGCGATACATTAGCATGTCGATTAGCTTGTTTGCTAATAGCGATCAAATAAGAATAAGATAAGATAAAAAGATTAGAGATTGATACAAAACACCTGTTTTAATAGTACAGTCTTCTATACTTAAACCCTTTCCTTTTCTTTCCCCTTGCAGATGTACTGTCCATTTTGTGGATCTGCGCTTACAGCTTCACCTGCCTTTTGCCGTGCGTGTGGCAAAAACGTCACTTTTTTAAAACGCGTCCAGGAGGAGACGCCTGCAACTCACGCACATATTGATGTTGCACAACCTTCCACCAGTCAAGGTAAACAGATTCATGATTTTGTGACAAAAATTATCAGAAGGGAGCCTGAGAGGTTCAGATCTTGTTCTTGTATATACAAAAAACACTTTTCTCTTCACTACCCTGGATTAGTAACTGGCATTAGAGGTATATTGAAATGCCCTGCAGAAAGTAATTTTATATGAACATAACTATGAACTCAGTAAGAGCATTGAATCAGTATGTAATTCCTATGTGTTTTTTTTTTTTAGCAGGAAGCATAGAAACATTTCTGAGGTTTAGGGCAGTTAAAGACAGGGAGAGAAAGTCATTCTTTTCAAAGAAACGTCAGGCCTCTCAGAGTGAAAAGCAACAGAAACCAGTGAAGGTATGATATGTTGTTTACATAGGGTGTTGCATAGGCTGTTCAGATTTGGCTGTCAGTGCAGATCTACACCTTGTTAAGTGACATATCATATTGATTTGTCATGTTGTATTTCTGTTTTATTTACTGTCATTTGTTATTTTGCAGATTTATGTTGGAGTTATGAGGTTGACAGGTGACTCCTTAAAACCTGTAAGAGGGAAATCACTGCCTCTGGACATTCAGCCTCACTGGTCATCAGAGCAGCTATTGGCTGCTGCTGTTAAAAAACACATGGATTTTAACCAGGACATGCAAGATGTTGTCCATGTTTTGTTGTACCCTGATGGCAGACAAGTGAGAAACATCCCAGGAACAAATGACCCTTTCACTGTTCAGAAGTACAAGGAGGCAATTGGGAAGGCCTACCAGAGGATAACACTCTACATTTGCACTGCAGAGGATTTTGAAACCAGTTGTAAGTGTTCCATTTTGTATTAATTCATGGTTTCCTATTGGTATCTTATCTGTGCAGGATAAAGTCTGCAAATTATTCAGAACATTATAGTCATTTTTGTTTAAATGCCTTTTTTGAAGGCTATACTGGACAGTCTTCTAGTGAAGATGACAGTGTTGTCCATGTGAACCTGCCATCTGTGGAAAGTGAACTCTCTGACACTGTGGTGAGTGTATATATGTAAAAGACATAGCAAATTTGCCTATTGCCAGGTACATTACCATTTAACTATCAGTTAAGTTATAAAATTACATTTAATCTAATGTGTTATATCTGTATATTTATATTATGTGCTGCACGCAGGTCTGGGACACTCCAGATAATGTGAGCACCCCAAAAACAGACAACATTTTGCAGGGGTAAAAATTGCCTTAGTCAAGTGATGTTTTTCTTCATAAACAATTAGGAAGATTAATTATTTATTTGTTATTCACAGACCCTCCAGATGCCAACAACCAGAATCTCATCAAGTAAGATTATATCCAATAGTATTGATTGTCTAACATAAAATTGTGAAATAGCAGTAAATAATTTTGGAAATTAATTTAGTCATCCTAAGTCCTTTGTATCTATCCTTTTATGGCTTGCATTAGTTCTAAGCAGGTAACAGTGCTAAATGATTAACTTAAAAAATGTATTATTTTTAAATAGGATGGACAGCAATCAACTCCCCAGGATCAGTTAAGATCTTCACAGAATCTGAATACCTGGTATAGGTAAGCTGGTGGACAGTTACAACCTTAACATTTTTGGTTAGTGTGTGTATGTGTTAAATGAAGAACATAATACATTAGCGTATGCCCTGCAATTCCTTCACATTTTTTATACTTCTATGCTTTCTTTCTTGGAATATCCAACTATTTATTGACATTCATTTTTACTGCTATATTGCAACATTACAAAAAACTTACTAAAGACCAGTCAATCTACATTTCTCAACCAGCTACCCCAATTCACACCCAAAGTCAAAATAACATTAGAACTCCAACAAATATTTTTTAAATTTTCTGGGAAGTGTAAGAAATGTACTATGTATATAGGTATTGTTGACTGACTGGAATCAATGAACTTTTTCCCTGCAGCAACTACACCACCATGTATGCACCTATAGTAGTTGACAGTGAGTCTGAGACAGATGACCACATAGACTACCCTGCAGAACAGTATGATATATTACTAGTTAGTACCTCATTGTTATTGTTGGCTCATATATTGGAACTCATGTACTGATATTCTCTTGCAGTCCGCAGGTTTTGAACCTGACTGCTGAAGACATTGTTTCAGACCTGGCCTCCAAGATTACCAACACTTCATACAGCAGGTTCAACATAAACAGGGCAAATATATGGGATGGAGCAATCAGAGGCTTCAAGCGACCATCTTATGACCCATCACATGAAATTTTGGTTAAATTCACTGATGATGAGGGGCGAGCAGAGGATGCAGTGGACACTGGTGGTCCCAAACGAGAGTTCCTCACCCTGCTGATGGACTGCCTTAGATCAAGGAGAATATTTGATGGTCCAGACGATAGGAAATTTCTCACGTTTGACTGTGCAGGTAAACATCTTATTGTTTCAGACTTAAATTACAGGTACATTGCATTTCTGAAAATTCATACTGAAAATTCAACATCTGGTTTTAGCTCTACACTTGGGTTCAGTGAAATTAACTTTGGTATGCATTTTCATGTGAACTCAAAAATGATTTTAATAGTGGACTAATGGATGGTAAAATGTTAACAGCTGCCAGAGATGATGAGTATTTTCATGTTGGGAGGATGATCGCTACATCCATAGTCCATGGTGGTCCAGGCCCTCGATTCTTGTCAGAAATGCTATACGACCACCTCACGGGAAAATCAACAGCTGATTTTGAGGCAAGGATTGAGGACATCACCGATGACACCATGAGAGCTTCCTTGCTTGAGGTTTGTGGTCAAATCAAGAAAGCTCACAAATTTGACTAATTGATCCCCTGAATTCCATTTTTAAAACCGGTTTAAAACTCGGTTCTCAGGTATTGTTCCATCTTTTTAAAAACATGGAATAGTGAATACTTGTAATCTAACAACCCAACCATTTGTAGTAAAAGCCAGTTTGCACCATCTCAGAACATTATCTGAATTAAGCCCCTCCTTCCTATTTTATGACATAGACCAGGATTTTCAAATTGGGTAAATGTGAGCCTCCTCCTCCTCCTTAGAGTAGGTAAAGACAGGTAGTATCACTGAACATCAGTAGCCTGACACCAGTCCTGGTTCAGTGCTAGCTTAGTCCTAGTTTAGTCCTCCTGATTCAGTCCTGGGTTCAGTCCTGATTTAGTTTGTGTGTGTCGCGTCTCTCCAGTGGCTCTTTGGCACCTCCCAGGGGAGGCAGGTCTCACCTATTGAAAACTGCTGGCATAGACAATATAAAATTGTGTGATTTCTTTCCATCTTTATCTTTCAGTATGGGAAGTTAGTGGCATTTCACTTAAATGTATGGTTATTGTCTTGCAGATATCCAGTGCAGCAACACTGGTTGAACTGCATGCAGTGATCGACAAACATTCAAGTCTGTTGCAGATGGCTGGTTGTCTTCAGTATCCAAAAGTTGTATTGGACAAGAAGATAATAATGAAAGACTTCATGCAGTGGTACTTCATTTACCGCAACCATTTCTCAATTCAAAGGTTGTTGTTTTTTTTTGCATATTCATTGATTAAATGAATTTAATTAGTTATAAGTTGTAAAGTCTTATGTTAATTATTAACTGCCAAGTAATTAGTATGCTTAAAGGAATAGTTAAACATTTTGGCACCGATAAAAGGTAATGTACGTATCTCTATGTTTATAGGGATTATGGCAGTAGTCCAATTTGTTGAACTATCCCTTCTGATACTGCTATTGTTCTAAACATTTGTGTTTTTTTGCTCTGTTGATGTTTTGTAGGTTCAAGGATGGGCTTTCAACACTTAACATGATTCATGCTTTGGAGCAGCATGCATCTATATTCAAGACATTTATGTGCTCAAGTGTGGAGCAGCTGACATCCACAATACTGGAAAATCTTTTTGAGGTTCAACTCAGTGAACAAGGCACCACAAGACGCCAAGAAGAAACCAAAGTATTAGCATTCTGGAGAGACTATCTCCTTGATACAGAAGGTTTATTATGTTTCTCTCATCTTGTATGAATAACAACTTTAATAAAACACATTTTAAGAACATGATCAATAATGCTTTTTTTTTTCCTCCCAAGATAAACAAACAGGACTCTCCCTCCCTGACATCCTGATGTTCGCCACAGGACTCTGTTCTCTGCCCCCATCTGGGATTAAGCCAAGACCAAAGTTGGTGTTTCAAAGGGTGTCTCGCTTCCCATGCAGCAGAACCTGTGCAAACACCATGGAAATTCCATTGTCAACAACTTATGAAGAGTTTCAAAAGGACATGGACTTTGGAATACAAAACTCTCCTGGTTTTGGACTGTACTAATTTTTTTATTGTATAACTGATAGGTTGACCTTTAGTGTCTGAAGTTCAACAGTTATTACCTGTATTAGTGATGTTACAACTCAGCCATGTTCTTCAATCTAATATAAAGTTCCACACAGGTCTCCCAGGTCATTGGCTGCATTAGACCACTCTGTCTTTGTAGATCCTCAAAGTGTGACTGGAGATGACGATCTCCACATGAACTGTGTGTTGCCTCAATCTGAAATGGCCCCAGTTCCTCCAGTGAAACCGGAAACCCACAGTCAGTTCCACCAAACCTGGGAGTAAAAATATGTTACGTGTAGCTTGGACTCAACTAGCTGAGCGCAAGACTGTTACCATATGCAATACTATTAAGTGCAAGGGTTTTTCACATCTTTTCTTAATGTACTTCACTTCACACCTGTTGCTCTTTGTTATTATATTGTGATGTGTGGGTTACTGTATCCAAGTAATTTCCCTTGTGGATCAGTAAAGTTTGTCTAGGTCTATTGTTACATTTTATCCAGTTATTTCAATTAAGGTAATAAATAAATACATAAATGAATAACCTGTGAGGTAGGCTGTACATGACCTCTGGTTTCCCAGATGGACAACGAGACTGTTTAGCAGGTCTTATTGTATGAGTGTTCCACTTTTTTCTGCATTCATCAAGGTCATGTTGTAGCATATCCATAAATGCAAATCGCAGGAGGCATGTGTGCTCATGACTGCTGTTAAAGAGATTTCGCTCTCTCAAATCATTCATAAGGTCCATCCAAAATTGAGACCTGAAAACACAAGCTGGAATTAGGGCAATGCATTTCAGGGAATGTTTTTGGATTCTAATGCAATTGAAAATGTTTTAATTTGTTGTTCAAAAAAAGCAAGAAACTTTCAAGGACCACAATGGTCTATTTTCTATGTGTTTTAAAGACTATTTTAGAAATGTGCTTCTAGCATGTAAAACACTTAAAGAAATCCATAATAACACCTTTGTTTGCGAAAATAAGACCACCAGCTTTCAATTCTTTGGTTTGCCATTGAAGAGCCATACAAATGACTAGCAGCCCCAGCATAGTCGTCAGTGTGAGATGATCTTAAGGCACACTGAATTGCTGCCATTGTGCCATTTTCAGTGCCACAGTCAGTACGAAGTCGCATTGGAATGATTCCATATTCTGTCAGGCAGTTCATGTAATTCTGGGCAATGACCACTGGGTCATTGTTGCTTGCTCCACATTTCAACCACAGCACCTTTCGCGAGTATCCATCTATGCAGCCACTGATTCCAAAACCGTATGGTTTCAACTTATCGTATCCATCCACATGCCACACATGGTTCGGTCCATCAGAAGTGTAAACTCGCTTAACAAATCTTCTGCTTGCACGATGTTGAATTCCTTGTGGATCCAGTTCTCTCATCAGGGCCATAACATCATCCCTCCTAACTGTCAGCGAGTATTTTAGGCGCAATGTCTGCCACATTGAACGGTAGCCATAGTGTTGCCCTGGACCCTTTAACTCCTCCTGTATGGCCCCACAAACACTGGCAAGAGTAGAGTAGTTCTTTTGTCTGAACAAAGACAGCATATTCAGCTTCCTCTTCAAGGAGCGAAGGCTCATGTGCACATTGTGTTTAGAAGCTAAAAAATCCAAAATCTCCGCATTGCTGTAGCTCTCATTAAAATATCTTCTTATTAGGTCATCTGTGAGGACATCTGATGCTGACCCTATAAACATAAAGTGGGATAAAGGCAGACATTTTATTAGAATTATCACAAGCCAAATATACATGAATGCATTTTACATGAAAAAGTGGCATTAACATCATTGATCATATCAATGTTATTTAAAAACTGGATATGAGTCCACTTACCGTCTGCATATTCTGCTAAAAAATGCACACTGGAGCCACATGAGCCACAGGACATTGGTACATCGGTAGTTCCCAGATCGTGTCCGCAGTAAGGACAAAACATATTGGCCTGGAAAAAGACGATAGATCAGTATAAACTAGAAAACTGAAATCAGAAACGTGATAAGTAACGTCACTGATATGGGTATTTATACACTACCTCTTAATATACACAAACAGCGGAGATCATAAGTGTATAAGTTAACTGCTGGCATAATAAGCATAATACTTAATGTGCAGCGTTGTATCGTATGGAAGACTGCGATAAGATGGCTTTTAAATGTACTATTAAAACGGGTGTTTTGTATCAATCTCTAATCTTTTTATCTTATCTTATTCTTATTTGATCGCTATTAGCAAACAAGCTAATCGACATGCTAATGTATCGCCTTGTAAAGTCTGGTGTGAAATACAATAAAATAACCGGCACGTGAAGTACCGCGTTGTACAGCGATATTTATATTATTTATAAACACAATACATGAATATAATAAAATAAAAGCCACATTACCGTAACAATAATTTGTTCCCGCTGTAATTTATAGTCGTTTTCCGTCTCTCTCATAAGGAGTACCTGTCTCTCTCCAGCCGGTGTGTCTCTCCATTGAGCTGTTACACTGAGAGCGCCCCCTGCAGGTTTGGAGCACTTCCGTTGTGGTGACTTTTTATGCAGCGTTTTTCTTTTGCAGGTGTTTTCTTGGTATGCGTCGTTTTGTGCTTTGCATCGTTTCTCCATTTGCAGCGCATTTAATGATGATGCATTTGTTTTTTGTTTCTTGCAGCGCGTTTTTTCCATTTGCACCACGTTTTTTGTTTGCAGTGCGTTTGGCCCCTGTCGGCCACCCGTAGTAGGGAGACTTAAGACAGAAAAAATTTAATAAAAATAAAAAAGCATGTTCCGATAAACCGCCCCCTACGAGCCTCATTGAACATGTCTAACGGACTGTGTACATTAAATCTGCAGCCTTTACATCTAAAAAACAAAAATCAAGTTTACTGTTAAAGCGACTTGGAGAACTATCACATTTTCCATAGGTTAGACTACTGTAATGGTCTGCTCACTGGTCTCTCCAAACGAGCTGTGAGACAGCTGCAGAACATCCAGAATGCTGCAGCTCGGGTCCTTACTCGAACTAGGAAGTACGAGCACATAAGTCCTGTGCTCAGGTCTCTGCACTGGCTTCCTGTGCCTCAGAGAATAGACTTTAAAGCAGCTCTGCTTGTGTACAAGTCTCCATGGCCGAGCACCAAAGTACATCTGTGACATGTTAGTGTCATATGAACCATCTCGCACTCTGAGGAGCTCAGGGACCGGCCTCCTGCTGGTGCCCAGAGTCAGAACTAAACAAGGGGAGTCAGAGTTTCAGGTTCATGCAGCTAAAAACCTGGAACAGTCTTCCTGAACATGTGAGACAGGCCTCTTCTGTGCGCTGTTTAAATCCAGACTCAAACATTTCTGTTTAACTGTGCATATAACTGAAAGTTTTCATTCCGCACTCTTCTCTCCAATTTATGTCTCTCTTTTTTAATTTTAATCTTCATGATTATTTATGTTTTGATTTTTTTTATTATGATTTTAATGTATTTCTTATTCTGTAAAGCACTTTGAATTACTTTGTGTACGAATTGTCTATACAAATAAACTTGCCTTGCCTTGCCTTAAAGGTTGTATAGAGGATTTTCCAAGGAACGAGAAATCCAGCGACTGTTTGTCCTTTTTTCAAATGTTGCGCATGCGTGAAAACCACCCCCCCTCCCCTACAGCTCCCTACGTAGAAACGCCTTCTCCCGCCTCCTCACTACGCCAGAAACAGGTTTGTTTACAGCCGGTGAGCTGCACATGACTTGTAAAACACTAACTACAGTGTTGGTTAGGCAAGGCGGAGAAGTGAGGAGCGGGGGAGCGGGTGTGCGGACATTTCGTTCGCGGACGAGAAGTGAGGAGCAGGGAGAAGAGAGCGGAGCAGGGAGAGAGGGAGAGAGGAGAGGGGAGCGGTGCGCGGAGATTCCGTGCCCGTAGAAGTGAGGAGAAGGGGGAAGAGCGGAACGGGCAGCGGGGACAGGAGTAGGAAAGGGGAGCAGAGAAGGTTGCGCGGAGATTCAGTGCGAATGAACTAGCTACAAACACGCAGCAGCAAGCGGACTCTTTCTTTGCCTTGAAAATTACGTTTTCAGACATAGGATATCGCTTTCGTGTCCTGAAAAACGTTTGACTAGCTCTTGGAAATAAAGTACGTTTTCATAATAAGCAGAAGTTACCTGTCCAGGAGTAATTTGGCGACCAATGCGTCAGTCTTTAGACCCTGCGTCTGCTTCAGTCGCGCCATCGCTGGAATGAATCTACAAGAATCACCTTAGTTTGGCTTCGCTGCTTTTCCCCTTGTCTTCTTCTTCAGCGACCTCAAAAACGGACTTTCTTTTGCGGCTAACTGCTCCTGGATTCTTGTCTGCCATTGCAACAAACTTTGTGCTAACTGCGAGGAAGATATAGGTCAAAAAAAGCCGCTAAGAACTGTTGCGTTGGTGGAGTAAACAGTGTCTGTGCGTCTTGCGTCTGTGGACTGCGTGACAGGCGTACGTAAACCACGTACCGGCGGCGCGCAGGCAGGTCAGTTACGCTAGAAACGTAGGGAGTTTGATTGATAGCCTGTCAGCTAACAGATAACGAGGCAATGTCGTTATCTATTGCAAATGTTTACGTCAGAGTTGATGTGGTCATCAAATTACAGGCTACTGCACTCTATAATGCTATCATTGACAACTGAAACAAAAAAAACAAAAAAAAAATCCTCCATACAACCTTTAACTGAGCTGCTTTTGTCACTCGTTCGAAGGAAGAGCAGTATATTAAATTGACAATAGCAAAATCAAATGCAAAAAATAAATTACAATAACACAGTCACTCACTAGATAACTTGTTGAGCAACAGTTCGATTTCAAACATGATTTTACTTGTATTCTCTTGGCAAAGACAGTTTTTACTTACCGTTTTATTTGTAGATGCACAATCCGATGCAGAGGAAGCAGGTCGTCTTGCAACGCATGTCTCCGGTGCACTGGCAGTAAAACTTTCCCTCGCAAGTTTAGCGCGCACCAGATTTCAAAAATACTGTAGTTCACTGTGATTTACTCTGATTTATTACATTAACATACTGTTGAAGGCATGTGTGCTGTTGCTTCACGTTCAGCAGCCCACAATGCATTGCAAATTACAGTATAAAACTGTATTACAGTAATACAGTATATTACTGTTGGAAATTGGCCGTAAATTTACAGCAATTGCTTACAGTGCACCACCTTGCTACATTTATTTACAAGATTTTGTTTTTTGTGTGATGTTTTCATATAAAAAAATATATAGCAAATTGCCAAAATGTATTTTTTTAGAACGATTAAAACAGAAACATGGAGAAAACCAGGTTAAAAAAAAAAGTTAGATACAACAAATATTTACAGAAGGTATATTGGATTTTTAAATCTTATTGAAAAGATTGTTCTAAAAATTCATATATATATTTTTTTTTTACTAACTTGGTCAATCAAATTTTTAAATAAATATCAACAAATCAGTCAGTACAATCTATGTTATGAAGTGCTGCATTGAAAAGTTTGGTGTATGTTGATGCTACTTTAAGGGCCTCTGGGAGAAAAATGCATTTTGAGAAAACTTTCTTTGAAATTTAAATGTCACATGTAAAACAATGGCTGCAGGGTGATTAAATGAAATCATAAATCATTTTCTGGAGCAGATTAGACAATTTGGTTGTTTACACATGAAAGCTTACATTCTGAGAGACCAAACTGACCAAAAAACTAATAATGCAATGGATGAGTTTAGCCTGTATTTAATTTCTTAGTCTAAAAATGTGAAAGTGTATGGGCCTGACAATGTAGTTTATGACTGTTTACATAAACAGCAGCACAGTTTTCCTGTATGAAGGTTTTACAGGAAAGCGGTTTTGGTGCCAAGAAATGTACATGACTGCTGGAGCCATTTTCTTACTGACCGCAACTGAGCACATTTTCAGTCTCATCTATTATCTGTAATTAGTAATAAATGTATGAACACAGTTCTTTTGATCCCTGTTTTTTCCTTAGTATAAAATGCTACTCAGTATGAAAGTATTCTAAGTATTCAGAAGGACAATGTAATAGAATACATTTTTAATGCTGGTATTCAATATTTTTCAATTAAATACATTTCCAATATTCTTCCCATGACTACCATAACACTTTTATAAGCTCTGTTAAACATAATCGTGACAGTCATTTCAGTTTGGTCTCTTTCTACCTTAAAAAACCCACACACAACCCCATAGCTTAGTTTCATTTTGATTATGTCACATCAAACATAACCGCAGGTCTGGGTGGAAAATGTGTCCTTACACAAACAGATTTTTGTAAAACATATATTCATACAAAAGTAGCAAACATTTCTTTGTTTTATTGTCTTTTTTTCTTCCTCTTCCTTGGTACAAATCCACAGTACACAAGGTAAAGTACATTTGTCCATTTGCTTTCCATTTTCTATAACCATTGGCAGCTATGCTAGTGGCAGAGGTTGGTACATGGGAAATTGTGCTGCACCCTGTGCTGTTCTCACCCCAGAAAACCCAGTATTCACCCATAGTAGGTCCTGGACTCATTCAAATTGTACTTGTTATTAATAAGTTTGTTTTATGTTATATTATTGTATGGTGAAAAAACTGAGCAGAATTTGTGTGTAAACTTAAACAAACCATGAAATGAACTGCAAGACCATTTCTGCAAAAGTCAGAGACACACAGCAGCAACAGAAATATTATCTCTTACAAAAACATAATTAAAGATTAGGTGGACTTATATGCACTTCTAGAACTCCCTCTTTCTATAGAATTAGCAGGCCACAATTATCATGGAGTTTATTCACTTTGATATAAATCTCATAGTAGTAGTAGTAGTACTGTAGTTGTGTTCAGAAACAGTACTAGAGTAACCAGTTCTGCCGGTGGAATTTACGTGTCTTAACAGGATTACAATGAACAGTTATGAACATTTTACTGAACCAGAAAGGTGGATGTGGTAAATTCTTGTTCTTCTTTTGTATGATATTAACAGGCTTACAATCTACAATGTTCATAACAAACATTTTACTGACAGGAACCAGAAAAATGGATGTGGTAAATTCATCATTCTTTCTTGTTCTTCTTTTGTATGATATTAACAGGCTTACAATCTACAGTCTACAATGATCATAACTACTCAACATACTGGTTGACTGCATGTCTGTTTAAAATCCTTTTGTAGATGAATTAAATGTTTTCTGATTCTTTAAAGTGGTTTAGTGTATGTCATACACAGTTAATAGTTAAAGTGTTAAAGTGGTTCTTCTATCTATCTCCAATAAAAACTGTGTGGTCAGCTACATATATATTCACACTCAGATATATTCAGTGATGGCAGGAGGTTGCACTGTGACTGTCGTTGTGCAATACTCAATACTATTTGCTCTTATAAAATAGGTGGTTTCCAGTGGCTGTGGTTGCTACTTGGGAAATTGTGCATGTAACCTTCTCACCCCAGAAAATTCAGTATTTACCCTTAGTAGATCCTTAATTGGTTCAAACTGAGGATATGAGAAACTTGAATTAGCACTTTTGAGACTGGGACACTCAAAAGGGTCTGTTCCACACTATAGTAGAGTCTGTAGTAGATTCTCTTTCTCAGGTTTGTGAGAGATGTTTGATAAAAGGGCTCTATGTGGAGGTTTCCACATATCAAAAAGGTTGTTGTAAAACAAGAGATAAAGATATATAGAGAGATGTATTTAAAGATATAAGTTAAGATTAAGTAGTGATGGCTTAACTTTAAAGGTTGTATAGAGGATTTTCCAAGGAACGAGAAATCCAGCGACTGTTTGTCCTTTTTCAAATGTTGCGCATGCGTGAAACCACCCCCCCTCCCCTACAGCTCCCTACGTAGAAACGCCTTCTCCCGCCTCCTCTTTACGCCAGAAACAGGTTTGTTTACAGCCGGTGCGCTGCACATGACTTGTAAACAACTAACTACAGTGTTGGTTAGGCAAGGCGGAGAAGTGAGGAGCGGGGGGAGTGGGTGTGCGGACATTTCGTTCGCGGACGAGAAGTGAGGAGCAGGGAGAAGAGCGGAGCAGGGAGAGAAGAGAGGAGAGAGGAGAGGGGAGCGGTGCGCAGAGATTCCGTGCCCGTAGAAGTGAGGAGCAGGGGGAAGAGCGGAACGGGCAGCGGGGACAGGAGCAGGAAAGGGTGCAGAGAAGGTTGCGCGGAGATTCCGTGCGAATGAACTAGCTACAACACGCAGCAGCAAGCGGACTCTTTCTTTGCCTTGAAAATTACGTTTTCAGACATAGGATATCGCTTTCGTGTCCTGAAAAACGTTTGAGTAGCTCTTGGAAATAAAGTACGTTTTCATAATAAGCAGAAGTGACCTGTCCAGGAATAATTTGGCGACCAATGCGTCAGTCTTTAGACCCTGCGTCTGCTTCAGTCACGCCATCGCTGGAATGAATCACAAGAATCACCTTAGTTTGGCTTCGCTGCTTTTCCCCTTGTCTTCTGCTTTCAGCGACCTCAAAAACTGACTTTCTTTTGCGGCTAACTGCTCCTGGATTCTTGTCGCCATTGCAACAAACTTTGTGCTAACTGCGAGGAAGATATAGGTAAAAAAAAGCCGCTAAGAACTGTTGCGTTGGTGGAGTAAACAGCGTCTGTGCGTCTTGCGTCTGTGGACTGCGTGACAGGCGTACGTAAACCACGTACCGGCGGCGCGCAGGCAAGTCAGTTACGCTAGAAACGTAGGGAGATTGATTGACAGCCGGTCAGCTAACGAGACAGTGTCGTTATCTATTGGCAAATGTTTAGCTGGCCCCACCACGTCCAGAGTTGATGAATTTTTATTCTTTTTTTTTTGGTCATCATAATTACAAGGCTACTGCACCTCTATAATTCTATCATTGACAACTTGAAACAAAAAAAACTAAAAAAAATCCTCCATACAACCTTTAACCTCCAGTCTCTCATGTCAATGTAATGTCCCCAAGAAGCAGTTAAATCCACCATGTGTGTCACTGTGAACTGATGAGCTGCACTAAAGATGCTGAATCAAAGCAGGTTATTGTTAAGTTAATACAGCGTGCTCTAATGGCCACATGGGAGGACTGCACAAGTCTTCTACAAAAACATAAAAGATAGTCTTATTGAGTGAGTGCGTTTGTGTCTTTTTTGAAACAACATTTATTATAAGTATTTAAAAGAAGTTCCACGGCATTTTCACACTCTTAACTATCAAAGCATTTCCTATTTACAAAACAAAAAATTCTGGGATATCACTAAGGTGAAGTAGTCTATTTCTTGGAAATCCTACCAGTATGTTGTGTCCACTTTCATGTCTAAAATAGAGCCAATAATGACCACCTCCCAAACTCCCTGAACAGACCCCTCAGAAATGTCAACAGTCTTAACAGCCACTGATGAGCTGTGCTGAAAATGCCTTTTTAAAACATTCACTAATACTCAACAGATAGCAGGAGTTATTTGAAGCAGCGGCTGTGTGAGGGGGTCAAATGTCAGGAGAGGTAGGGTTGAGGTTGGTATTTCACTCTGTTGTAGTCATCCACTGTGCTCTCCACTGCAGGACTTCTCCAATACTTCTCCAAACCCATGGCAAGAGACAGGGCAATTGCTGCAATCTGCAATGCACAAAACATCAGACAGTTGTGCTGTGGTATGTTAGAGAAAAAAGTGTATAGATACCCAGATACTAAACAAATAGACAGACCAGATTGACCTGATGAAAAACTGTTGTTTTAGATTTATGCAAGACACTTCATCCACCTTGTTCCCAGTGTTTGAGTAATAGGTGATGGGTCTTTGATGTGAGGTACTTGGGTGCCTTGAAAGCTCTATAAATGTGACAATTTTTGTCTTTATTTTTGTATAAAAATCCCTCAGTTGTCCAGGTGGAATCCATGGCAAAGGAGAAATTCAATTTGTCAGCTGGACAAAAGTTTATTTGGTTGAATACATTTCGCAGCTCATCCAAGCTGCTTTTTCAGTTCTGGTCAAAATGCTGATGGACACATCCTTATATCTGGCTGAAGGGAGGAGCTAACTACAATGAAACTACTCTGCAATTAACACACTTGTTTACAGTTTCTGTTAGCTAGGCCTTCTGAACTGCACTGTGTGTGGGGCCTTATTAGTATAACCATTCAGGGCCATAATGAGTGCTTTCACACCTCTGGATGGAGGATGGAGTTGTAAATAGGAGACAGATGGTGTCTAAGTCCTCCGTTTCTGTTTAGAGAAGGATTTTCTTTCTTCTTTCTTAACAAAAATAGCCTATTTAACTCTCCTCTCAAACCAATTATTTTCTCTGGCTAAGATCTGTGCCTCACTATCCTCTAAAGAGTGGCCTGTAGGTTTTAGGTGGAGATGTACAGCAGACTGAGGTCCACTGCTGCTCTCTCGTCTGTGTTGGTACATCCTCTTGTGAAGTAGCTGTTTTGTTTCTCCAGTGTAGCACTCTCTGTAGTCCTTGCTACACTCAATTGAGTTTAAAATAGGCTGGGATCTCATGTTGTCTGAAAATCCTCTGTAGTTTTTCAGAAACACCAGCTATATAAAGAATAGTTATCCCCTTTCTCCTGGGTTCTGATTCTCTGTTGTCCTTTCTCTTGGTTTTGGATAGCCACAAACACAGAGGGCTTTCTGCATATATTGTTCTTCTTTCTCCTTTCTCCTTTCTCTCTGTGCTTGTAGGTCCTGACGTTCACCCAGACAGAGAAAGAAGTACTTTCCAATGGACTGAATTTCTCTATAACTTCTAACCACTTCTAACCACATCCTCATGACACATTACAGCAGCAGAAACTGCCATTAGGAACAACAAGCTCACACAGACAGAAGCTAGAAGCCTGTAACAATTGTGTGATGCCCAAAATGTGTGGTCACATTGTTTTTATTTAATGTAATGAAATTCTGTAAATAAGGAATAGTGGTGTTTTAGTTTTGAGATGCAATTGCAATTATAATTTTGTCCACCAGATAGCAAGGCATACAGTGAGACGGTTTGGGGGCGCTGTGGCCTCTGTTTCCTGTTACTCGGCAGTAGCAGAAAGCAGAGGCCACAGATAATAACGTCTCCATCTCCGTCTCCATTTGTTTATTTCAGAACCAGTCTCTCCCCACACAAATATTTTAAACTGCCAACAGTGGTTGTGCCGGCCCAATACCTGCTAGTTTCTTGGTGGCCCGTACGGGGAGAGTATTGGTCAACCCTGATGAGCCCAGCGGTGACCAGAGAGAGAGCTGCTGCCTACTGATGAAGAGTCGACACCCTTACGCCAGTGGTGCTGAGTAAAGTGAAAACTACGGTGTACTGAAACAATGCCTGTCAAGGTCAAAAGAGTGAAAAGAACCAACATCGGTGTGAACCAGGTGAAAGGAAATGGAGTCAGCAGAAGGTGAAAGGAAAAGCTTGGTGTGGAGCATCAAGAGGAGTCTGTTCACCCTCTCAGCAAATGAACTATTCCAGCTCGCCAAATCACTGGGGACCATGCCTGGAGTGGACAAGTCACATCTTATGCCAGGGGACAAAGAGAGTTGTTTTCAGTACATCAGTGGTGTTATGTGCAGCAACGGTTTACTAGAATCTGAGGATCGGTTGATGTCACATTTACTACAGCTCCAAGATGTGATTGAACAAATCATACAAAGCCGTGGATTGACAACCAGTGTTGTTGTGAATTATTCAAATGCCCAGTCCCCAGACACACAACTTAATGACATTGTACAAAGCCAAAATCACTTTGAAAAAGAGAAAACTGATGGTTCTGAGTCCCAACATGTGAGCTCAAATGACACAGAGCTGCAGGAGCTGCTTCACAGTTATGAGGAGTTAAGTTAAAAGGTAGCACAGTACATGCCCTCAGATGCTATTCCGTCTGCCCATCAATCACCTGTACAGCCACAGTCGAGGTCACAGTTTAGAGCTCAAAGTAACCCTATCAACTCCACCGCATATGAGAAAGTTGTGTCACTCAGAGATCTCTCTTACCTTCACCGGAGAGAGTTCAAAGTACAAGGTGGTCAGATAGGAGACCAAGGGTCAGACATCAGTTACAACAACATTTGTCGCCAGATTGAAGAAGGATTCAAAGAGCAGTTTAGTGATGCTGAAATAGTCCGAGCTGTCTTAAGAGTCATCAAACCAGGTAATTTCAAAGACATGCTGATGAATAAAGATGAACTAACTGTAGAAGAACTGAAAGACTTTTTGCACTCCCATCTTGGTGAACAGAGCAACACTGAGCTTTTCCAAGAATTAATGCGCACTAAGCAAAATGACAGTGAAACACCCCAGCAGTTCCTTTATCAAGTCATAGGCTTAAAGCAAAAGATCCTGCTTGCCTCAAAGCATATTGCCACAGATGTAAAGTATAGTGCTAGCACGGTTCAAGATGTGTTTCTTCACACAGTGTACCAGGGTCTAGGACACAAACACAGTGACATTCGCAGAGAACTCAAACCGTTACTAGCCGACCCTTCAGTCACTGATGAAGCTATACTCAAACATCTAAAAAAAAGTAATGAGTGACGAGAGTGAAAGACAGCGTCGTCTTGGTCCAGTGTCACGCCCCAGAGGTACCAATGTGCACAGTGCAACAACTGATGTAAATGTGGCACAGGGTATCTCTGTAAAAGAGGACACTGTTGTGAAAAGACAAACTGATAAAGAGACTGACATCATCCAACAGCTAGTTGACAAGGTTGAAAAGTTAACAAATATGGTTGAACATTTGCAGTCACAAAAAGTAGACCAGACAAATCAGTACATGAAAACTAAAGCAAATTATCAGAAACCAAAACGTCATGGTTGTGCCACATGTCTTGCACAGGACCGTCCTGATTGTCCTCACTGTTTTTACTGCGGAGACGAAGGACATCAAGCAGTGGGCTGCCTCAAGAAGCTGCCGCGTCAGGGAAACTGGAGCTGGTCACTGTCACAGGACAAACAATGATCGGGTCCCCTCCTTCGTCCTAACTTGCCATTAGTAAAGACAAGGGACAGCAAAAAGAACAACAAACCCAAACCAAACATGTCAACACAATGGCTACAGATTTACCTGATGTAAAAAGTGAAAAACTTGCGAATCTTATTGGGAAGAAAGCTCTCACCCAGTGTAATCTAAATGGTTTAGCAGTCAGTGCACTATTAGACACAGGGGCCCAAGTAAGCATCATTGATAAAGAGTGTAAAAATAGATACTTACCTGACATTTTAGTGAGACCCATCAGTGAGATTATCAGTGAGGAGGATGATTTAAGACTGCATGCTGTAAATGGGGACATTCTTCCATTTTAGGGTTGGGTCGCTATAACAGTTAATCTGGTGGGCAATGTAGACCCCAACTTGTCAATCACTATGCCTTTCCTCGTTAGTAGTTTTGCTATGGAAAGACCAATATTTGGTGTTGGTGTTTACTGTGACATCAATGACATCACAGTCTCTGTTTATTTAGTGTAGTGTGATTGGACAACTGTCCTGTCACTCACGTCAACCTGCTGCGTCAACTCGTTGCAGCTTCACGATTAGCGGCAGCTGCTACTTTAGCCTAAAGCTCCACACAGGAAATGGCGAGAACAGAGTCAAAGACACTGACAGACCCGCCGCCGGGACCCGGGACTGTCGCTACCGCTGCCGGAGCCGGGACATTCTTTGCCGGGACCCGGGACAGTCGCCGCCCGGACCCCGTGCAGTCGCCACTGGGCCGGGGCTCTCGCTGCCGCCGCCGGGGCCAGGGCAGTTGCTCGCTGCTCTACCCGCCTTTGCCCGCTCGTTTCTGGGTGTAAAAGTTTGACCTGAGCATAGCGCGCAGAGGCATAATTCTACCTGGTGTCCTGGTGCTGATATGGACTGACTGTAACTTTCAGATTTCAGTGGGAAGTGGGATTAAGACTAATTTTACAACCGCTCGTGCACTCGGCTCCTGGACCTCGCGTCACGGACCAGACTGGACCAGGATTTGGACCAGTTTCATCTCTTCATATTGGACAATACACTTTTGGAAACAGAACCAATGGGACAGTGGATAGAGGAAACATTCTGCTTCAGTCTCTGGAGAAGGTAAGAGGCTGGTTTTCATTAGTTTGCGGCAAATCTGAACTTGGAGCCTCACAAGTAAAGAGTGTTATAGAGTTAATAGTTAAATAGTGCGTAAATGAGCTCACGGGTGCGATGGAGCTGCTCTGGTTGTTCTGCTGTGTGCTGGAGGAGCGGCATCTGTGTTCATGTCTCTTATTGTAGTTTTGTTGACATTGTTGGGTCTGGGTGTGAGCGGTGTGTTACGTTGTGTTTGTTGCGTGAAGTTTGTGCTTGGCTGTTCATTGTGCTCTGATCGATATTGTTCAGCCAATACTAATCAAAATGTCTGTTTCTGGTATTTGTTATAATACTACAGCCTATATATATAATACATATATTATTCATAATATATATTAATAATTTTGCCCTTGGTGCACCTCCCAAAAATTATACCATCAGCCGCCACTGGTCCTGGTTTAGTCCTGGTTTAGTCCTGGTTTAGTCCTGGTTTAGTCCTGGTTTAGTCCTGGTTTAGTCCCGGTCCCTCAAGTCTCAGGTCTCTATAGGACAGGACTGGACGGCGTTACCCTCGCGTACCACGCT